ATACTACTATATACGTAGTATAATTACTCTCGTATGTAGTATATATATACTAGTACCACGATATATACTATACCACTGTAGTGGTGTATATATATATATATATATATATATATATATCAAGTCATAGATATATCAAATCACATGTACGGATATATCCCAACCTTGGCAAATATATTTTCTCATAATACAAAACATCAATCATCAACAATTTCCACCTTGCTTGAATTCTGTCGAGCCACCATGAAAATGTCTTCATCCCCGTACCTCCATAAAGGTACGGTACTGCAACAATGAGAGACATTAAGCAAGTCCAAGCAAAGCTTGAAATTCTCCGTGGCGACCGGCTTTGTAAGCATATCTGCAGGGTTGTCATTCGTATGAATTTTCTTCGGGTGAATTATTTTTTCTGACACAAGCTCCCTAATCTTGTGATATCTCACATCAATGTGTTTAGTTCTTGTATGAAAACAATTGATTCTTTGCAAGATTTATGGCACTCTGACTATCACAATGCAACATAGTACCTTCTTGCTCCACCCTCAACTCCCGAGCCAAACCAGTCGACCAAATCGCCTCCTTTGCAGCTTCAACTGCTACCATGTACTCTGCCTCTATCGTAGACAAGGCAATCGTGGGTTGAAGCATTGCCTTCCATGAAATAGGTCCACCTGCTAGTGTGAAGACATACCCTGTAATAGACATTCGCTTATCTAAATCACCAGCATAGTCGGAATCAACATATCCCACCAATTTTGTAGAGCTTCTCTTTCTGCTGAATATAATTTCGAGATCTGATGTCCCGCTCAGATATCTGAAAATCCACTTAATAACATTCCAATGCTCCCTTCTAAGATTACTCATGTAACGACTAACAACACTGATAACATGAGATAAATCCGGTCTGCTACAAACCATAGCATACATGAGGCTTCCGACTACGCTAGCATAGGGCACTAGAGATATCTGCTCTATCTCTTCATCCGTAGAGGGACACTGTCGTTCAGATAACTTGAAATAACTCGCTAATAGAGTGCTAACTTACTTGGCCTTATCCATGTTGAAACTCTCCAACACCTTTTCAACATACCTTTTTTGAGTTACCCAGAGTTTACCTACATTTCTATCTCTATGAATCTCCATTCGAAGGATCTTATTAGCAGCCCCTAGATCCTTCATATCAAACTCAGAACATAACATAGACTTGAGAGAAGTTATGTCACATGCATTCTTGGCAGTAATGAACATGTCATCAACATAAAGCATAAAGAGAATAAGGGAATTATCATCAAGAACTTTAAAACAAACACAACAATCATACTCACTTCTTGAATATCCAATCCGCACCATGAAAGAGTCGAAGCACTTGTACCACTACTTGGGAGATTGTTTAAGACCATAAAGCGATCTCTTGAACAAGCAAACTTGATCTTCCTTTTCATGCACCTTGAAGCCTTCAGGTTGCTCCATAAAGATTTGTTCCTCCAAATCACCATGAAGAAAAACGTTGTCTTCACGTCAAGTTGTTCTAGCTCCAAATCAAATATGACTACTAAAGCAAGTAATATCCTTATTGAAGTGTGCTTGACAACCGAAGAGAATATTTCATTGTAGTTCAGTCTTTCCTTCTGAACGTAGCCCTTTGTTATGAGCCTAGTCTTGAATCTCTTACATTATTTTTTTGTTGCTGCCTCTTTTTTTCGAAAGATCCACTTGCACCCAATCACTTTCCTTCCCTTGGACCTCTTGACAAGCTCCCAAGTCTTGTTCTTTTTCAGAGACTTCATCTCCTCCATCATGGTTGTCATCCATTTATCACTCTATGCATCACTTAGAGCATCTTCGAAAGAGGCGATTTCCCCAGTACCAACAGTTAGAGCAAAGACTATCATGTCCTCAAAGCCATATCGTACAGGGGCTTTATGAACACGCTTCTTTCAGCCTTTTGCCAGACTGTAGGGTTCACCATGTGATTGTTACTGTTCTGGTATGCTGCTAGATGATTTTTCCTCTTCTGGTGTTTCAGACTCTTCTAGCTCTACCTGGACTGTCAATCTTTCTTCATCTACTTGCACTTTGTCATCTTGCATGTTAATTGACTTCACCATGTGAGATTCATTAAATGCAACATCCCTGCTAAGCACAAACCTTATGTGAAGT